CGGGGGCTGCGGGGCCGGGGGTATGATCGGGGTCAGCCCCGGGGATGCTCCGCGAGCCGCTGCCCGGAGGACGCGCAGGGATGGCGGAGCGGAGGGCAAGGGGCAGCCCCGGTGGTTCTCGGGGATGCTACTGATGGGGGGGAAGGGGGTCGGGGAGCAGCACCGTGTGCCCCAGGACTACAGCGGAGGGAGACCCGAGGGATGCCTGGAGATGTGGCACTGGTGCGCGCAGCATCGGGGTTTGCTCCCGTGGCGGAGTAGGAACCCCCAGGGATTATCTTGGGGTGCTGGGTGAGGAGCAGGAGAGCCCCAGGGAGTATGTGAAGACACTGCACTTGGAGATGCCATAGGATGTCCGGGCGCATTCCCAGACCTCTGGAGGCACCAGGGGGATGCTGCCTCTCCCCAAAGGGTGTTTGACCCCCATTGCCTTCCTGACCCTCCAAGATGTGCTGGAGGGTGAAGTCCCTCCTCAGTAGTTACACGACAGCTCTGAAATGCGTCTGTGCACTCGATTATCAGGGAGCCATGGGAAATGCATGGCCTGCCAGCAGACAAACCCTTCTCACAGACATCCCGAGGTCCCAGCCCCAGCCTCCCGGGATCTGGGGCTGCCAGGCTGAGCCCTGACAAACCTTCCTACCCCTCACAGTGCAGTGACGCTCAGCTGGGCAAGGGTTTCAGCCTGAGCCACCTATTCCCCCTCCTGCCAGAAAAGTAGTCTTGATCCCATGCTGATGATGCCCACACTGCTCTGGACGGTGTTGGTCAAGAGCCACCCATGAGGAAACAATTATGGCTCAGCACTCCAGCAGCCGGCTGGAATTTCTCTCCATAAACCCAGTCCCTCAGTGTGGAAAGAGGCTGCTCAGCAGCAATGAGCTTGGCAGGAGTGAAGCAGAGCCCACCCTGATAACGACCCAGGGTCCATCAACAGGTACCCCCAGCACCCTGTGACACCGGCTGGCTCCAGAAGTCACTGCTCACACATCCTCGAGGGCTGGCTGTTAAAATTAACCCGCCGTGACTGGATCTGGAAAGCCCTTCCCCGGGAATGACAGGAATGTCTTTATCCTGGCCAAAGCAGCGCCGGTATGGGGCTGTTTGGGGAACCCACTGCCAGAGACAGTCTTCCCTGTAAACAGGCCAGAAGCCATAAAAACTCCACAAATTCCTCCAGATCCCCTTTTCCTGGGATCAAGCGAGGGCCTGAAACATGCAGGGGATGCAATGGTGTCTCCCCAAATTGCAGGAGCCTGGCACGTGCCGGGGTCCCTCGGTGCCACAGGACAGGATGAAGGCAACACCAGCAGCTGCTCAGGGCCAGGAAAATGCCTGTCACTGTGCTGCGGTTTCGTGACCGTGGCCTGGAAGAATTTCAGTGGCGTTTTTTTCCTGCTGGGAAGAAGAGCAGGCGGAGAAGTTCTGCTTGCTGGCAAGCCAACGTGGCAGGGCTGGGCCAGCCCAGGGCACAGGGTCAAGCAAGACGCTCCATGCCATCCCCTGCCCTTGCTGTGTTTTTGGTTCCACTTGGAACAAAACTATAATGGGAAGCCCAACAACAAGGAATGGGCTGTTCTGCATTGCTTGTTTATTTTATCATGGGGAGCTTAATGAAGGAATGGAGCTTAAACAAGGAATGGAGTCTGGGGTTAGGTCCACTGCTCCCCATGTCCCCTGGTGCCGGCTGGGAGTAGAAGCTGTGCAGTTATCCCTGCCAAGAGCCGGGGACTCAGAGAGGACGTGTGAATGCAGGGAGGGGGCCAAGTGTCAGGCACAGGAGTGTCTCCCCAAGTGAGATGCCACCTCCAGCAGGGCCTCGGAACCAGAGGGTGGAAGTCAGGGTGGTGAGAGGTGGCTGGCGGCCCCGTGTGCTTGTTTTCCAGGGCGGAAGGCCAGGGGTTGCTCCCGTCTTCCCTTCCCCTCCTCCGGTGCTGCTGGCAGCAGGCTGGGTGCTCAGCTGACAGTCACGGGGAAGGCATTAGCAAAGCAAAGGGGAGTTCCCTCGCCCCATTGCAAGAGAAGACAAGGTGCTTTACCCTGGCCCTCTCCTCGGGCAACCCTTCCTCATGTCCCCCCAGCACCCACAGGAAAAGCTGGGCACAGCCTGAGGGTCCCCCCTCATCCATACACACAGAGGGGGCAGCCCTGTGTTGAGTGCCTGCCCATCTCCATTAAACCCACCAGATCCTCCGGTGGCCAGCAACCGGTGTGCCTGTTCCCTGGTCTGTGCCCCTGGTCCCTGCCCCAGCAACTGTGCACACCCACGGGGCCAGGGGTGCTCAGAGCACCACGCGCCGGTCCAGCTGCTCTGCCCGCCCGGCTCGCTGGTGTCTTGCTTCCAGGTGCTTGTTTTGGACCTTCTCAAAGTGCTGCAGCAGCTCCGTGTAGTCGATGTTGGAGGCTGCTGCTCTCTTGAAGCTGGTGCTGGGCTTGGTGTTGTCCCTGCAGGGTGGGAAAAGAGAGGGTGGGAAGGGGATGGGGATGTTTGGTGTTGTGAGCATCCAGCACTGGCAGCACCAAAACCTTGTCCTGAAGAAGCTGAGCTCAGCAAATCCTAGTCATGCTGGTGCCTCATAAAATACCCCCCCAAAGACATATTTTCTTCCTTTAAGGGTGTGAGATAGAGCCCAAGAGGTCCTGGGACAAGGAAGGGACAAGGGACATCTGCATCTTGCCCCGACATGGGAGGTTTAATTCCTCTGACACATACTCCTCTCTATCCCAACCCACTGCAGTAAAAAGCAGTGAGATAAGGATGCCAGGGCCATATGCCTCAGTTTCCATGTCTGCTTCTTTGAGTGAGCAAAAAACATCCAGTGGCAGCAGTGACACTCCTCAGGGATGAGCACCCATGGCTGGAGCTCCAAATGCAGGCTTCCTAGGGCTCCAGCCATGGATACTCATCCCTGTGCTGTCCCTATGCAAGGAAGGAGCTGACACCAGCCATAGGATGCCCATGGGAAGATGGCAGGCAGCTCTGGTGGCCCTGGTATGTCCCTGGGGAGGGGGCAGCTGGGACTGGCCGGTTATGAAAGCCGGCTTCGGTGTTTGAAGGAATGTAGGTCAGAGTTAATCAGATGCTCAGGCTGTCTGACAGCTCGAAAAACCCCCACTGCCAGGGTTAGTGGGGAGAAAAAAGGAGGGGGAAGCACATGCAGCCCCCTCTCTGCCCCCCCAATTAAATATCAGTGCTGGGTTGTGGGTAGGAGCTCAGTGCCGGAGGCCATGAGGGATAAAAGCCATCCCAGGGAAGCAGTTAAAAGCCAAGGAGCGACAACAGCAGCAGGGGGTTAATTCAGAAACCTGCCCATCTTGGGAGCTCTTTTTGTTCCCAGGGCTGCGCGAAGGCACAGCCAGCTTTATCATCAAGCCTCCCCACTACTCATTAGCCAAGGGTTGGAAAGCAAATCCCACTGGCAGCACCCCTGGGCAGGGAGCACGAGGATCTCAGCTGGTCCCCAGGGAGATGCTGTCGTTGCACATCTCACAGATCCCCAAAGGCCAGGAGTGGGAATGGAGCAGCTATCCGGAGGCACTAGCAGGGTGCCAGGATCCTTTTGGGTGCTGTGAAGGCTGTCCAGGCTGCAGGGGGGATGCTTTGGGAGCCCCCCCCCAGCTGCTGGAGTCTTTCTCCATAAACCTCCTTCCCAGCTCTGCTCGTTTCCATAGCGACCCCACAAGTGAAATTTTCCATCCCGGATGCCAAATGCCTGTGGATGAGGCACAGCCCTCCCAGGGTTACCAAATATAGACACAAAAAACCCCCCTGGCCAACACTCCCGGCCATGGGGACAAGGAACAGCCACGGCTGCAACGGAGCTGTGGGGTGAAAGCCAGAGCACGGGGCTGAGCCCAGGATTGGGGCTGAGCCTGGAATGGCAGGGATGCTCAGCTGTGGGGAACAGCTGATCCAGCCCCGATGCTGAGGCTGGTCCATCCCCCCAGCACTTACGTGGTCTGCATGAGCTCTGGGTTGGGCACGCACTGGAGGCGATGGGAGAGGAGCTGGAAGGCGCTGCTCTGGGGCAGCAGCATCAGCAGGCCATAGAGAGCCTTGATCAGGTAGGGGTTGTTCTTCACATCCAGCAGCTGCAGGCGGAGATCTGGAAGAGGACAGAAGAGGATGGGAAGGCAGGGAAAATGCATTTCATTTCCAGCTGCAATAGCAGGTTCCTCCCACCCCCTCTGCTAGCCAGCCCAAGGGGTACTTGATGGCAACCCTCTCCCCTTTCATTAACCCATTCATCTTCGTGTCCCATGGTGCCCCAAAGTCCCTCTCCTTGACACAGCCCCCTGGGGGCAACTGGCTCCCCAGCCTGCCACTCCTGGTACCACTCACCTCTGAGGCTGTCCATGCTGTCTGCCTGAGAACACACATGCAACATGGGATTGCTCCTCAGCTTCTCCCAATTTAGCAGAAATACCCACCCTGGAGCATCACATCCAGAGGGCTGGGTGACACCCTCCTGGGGACTCTCTGGAGCAGAAGGAATCCCCTCCGCTTGGTTCTGAGGGTTACATGTGCTGGGCCTCAGTTCTGCTCAGCAGAGGCAAAACTACCCTCTGGCTCATGGCAGAAGTCTTCTGCAGCCCTAAATACAGCTGAAGGGGCAGCCCAGGAGATGGGGCAAGGTGTGTGTCTCAGCATCTCACCTGGTTGTCACTTGTACTGCTGGTGTCTCCCAGTGAAGGGAACCATCACCAGGGATGTCACTTTATGGGGGACACGTCTATCCCCTGAGATGTGCGGACTAAGGTGAGTGGGCTGGGGAACCACCAGTGAAAAATTTTGGGGCATGCAAAACCACCAGAGACACGTGGGTGCCTCACACATTGGGACAGTCATCCTGGGAATATGGGACAGCGTCTACAGGAGGGAGCATGAATGAGGATCTCTACTGCCCAGCTGCTCTAAACCTCTTCCCTTAAATATTCCCCAGTATCATCCTGGACCTATATAGGTGCCCTGCAAAGTCCTTTCCAGGACATTACCCAACAACCTCAGTGCCCTGCTACACCTTCAATGAGAAGCCCAGGGACAGCAAATTGACATAATGAGAAATCCACAGCCACAGGTCACCCTGCCACATCCCCTGCCACCATCCTGGCTCCCAGTATCGCACCCCTGAGCCCCTGGTCAGGCACTGCTGCATTACCCAATGGGGGACACACACTGCTGGATGCCAGAAGAAACATCAGCTAGTTTTTTAGAGCTTAACTCTTCATTTCTAGAAAAAAAAAACCTTTTTTCTTGCTAAGGGCCTCAGCAGCACCCACAATGCCATCCTGTGCATCCGAGGGTGGCATAGAGGATTCCCCCATCTGACGCCCTCCTCGTGCATCCCTGGAGATGCTCAGTGTGATCCAGGCCCCCTCCATCCCTTCCCCCATCCCTTTTGTTGGATGCCAGTGCTGCTCGCTCCCTTAACCTATATCTGGGGGGCAACGCTGCCCCCCCGTGCTGCCAGCGTGCCCTTTTCCCGGCGGGCAGCTCCAGCGCTGGGCAAAGCTCCCGGCAAGAAGTCTCATAACTTCTGCTCTATTTATTCGTGCGGCGGCTGCCGCCCGCGATGGAGGCGAGGGGAGGGGGAGCACCGCGCGCTGCCCCTTCCCCAGCGGGGTCTCCTCCTTACACGTGAATATGGGGCACTCGATGAGCTGCACCAGCTTGTCCACCTCAGTGAGGAAATCCACGGTGACCTCCAGGTCCCCGCTGGATGTGGCTGTTAAGGATCCTACCTTGGAAAAAGGTGGCCAGGCAGCAGCAGATGGCTCACGAGGGCGATGCCTGGTGCGGACCACGGCTTTGCCAAAGCCTTCCTGCAGCTCCTGTGGGATGTGAGCAGGCAGGGAACAGGCAGGGCTTGCATGCAGGCAGGGCTAAAAGGTCTGTAGGGTGGCCAAGGGATGACGGAGGGAGACAGACGAGCAGGCAGGTATAGGGGAAGAGGCAGGCTGCCCAAAAAGCTGAGAGTAGGCAGGATGAGTGTTCAGGGGAGGACGCTTGCTTTTACCCCTGGCCCACGAGGATGGTGCGTCTCCCAGAAGGAATGCCGGTGTGCACTGGGAAGGGAACTTGAGCGTGTTATTGAGCTTCTTCGTTTGGAAAACTACTCAGAGAGGCTTGGGGTTTGCTGGCACATGAAAATAATCATTCTGCTGCAGACAGATGGTGAGCTCACCAGGGATTGTACTGTGCTGGGCACTGCCTGCTCCTCACCAGGCCAGGAGGCCAAAACCTTCATCTTCCTGGGAGGAAGAGGATGTTGAGGAGCCTCCCCTCCTGGGCAGGGGAAGGTCAAGGCTCAGTCAGTGCACGCCTTCCTCTCTTTTCACCACAAAAAAAGGGATGACACCAGGGGAAGGCAGCTGGCACGCATCCAGCACAGGCTGCCCTGCCCCGGTAATGATGGGCTGCAGGCAGGAGGCTGGGCTGGCCTGCAGGGTGACCTTGATTGCCACAGAGGGAGTAAAGGCCAGCTCAGGCCCCACCGTGGCAGAAAATCCCCAAAGGATACAATTTCTGGATGAGGTCGTAGGCATGCTTATAGTTCTGGGTAAGGAAGCAGAGGGACACGGTCGTCACAGGGTTGTGACACCAGGACCGGTACAGGCAGCAGAAGAGGTTACGGCTTTCCTGGGGAAAGAGAGATTGGGGTTTGGTCACCACTGGGAGCACACACGTGGCATGGCCCCAGGAACCCAACAGCAACCTGCCAAGTGCCACCAAAACACAAAGGGACGTTTCTAGACCCATCAAGTCCACCTGGCACTGCCACGAGCCTCAGTCTCAGGAGATGGAGACCAGGCGGACTTTGGGGTGACAGTCTCATGAGGTGGCACTCAGGGCTGCTAAGTCCACCACAGGATGAGGGGCTGGAGTATGATGCTGTCCCACCCAAGGGGACACCGTGCATCACTGGTTTTCAGCAGAAGGAGGAGGAGGATAAATCTTTCTTCTCTCCTTCCCTGGATGTCACTGGTGCTGGTGGCAGGTGCTCAGCAAATCCTGTGGGCATGTTCCTGGGAGGGACAGCTGAGGGACTGCAGGACTTTCCTCCTGCTGTCACCTGTCCCACAGCCCATGGAGGGGCAGATGGAGGGAGGCAGCAGCTGCTTGAGGGCCCAGTAAGCCCATTCCCATTCCAGGGAGAAAAGCAAGAGTTGGGCAGAGTTGAGCCCATCCTCCAAGCCCATCCTCAGCTCATGAAGGGTGAATGAATAAATAGGCTGCCCGAGCTCCAAATCTGGGACCAACCAGGCAGGGACTGAGCATCCAGACACACTCCCAGGTGGCTGCCAGGTCCCCACCACCCCCATTATGTCCCTCCAGCTGCTAAGCCTGCTCCTGCTGCCCATACCGGAGTCTTCAGGTCCTTCAGTTGGTTTCTCAGCTGGAAGAGCTCGGAGGATGTCAGCAGGATGGTATTGAGGGTGTGGACCATGGTAGAGGCGAATTTGAGGTCCTCCTCCCTAAGCAGTATGTCTGCCATGGAGTGGAAGATGTTCTCTGCATTCAGAAGTAGACAAAGCTGCCTGTGTATCACAGAGGAGAGAAACCAGGGGGAAAGGATGGTTAATGAGCACAGTCAAGACTCTGATGTGAACCCACTTCTCCAGAGAGGACCAGGGAGGAGATCTGCGTGCACCAGAGGTTGGCTGAGTGTGGTGGCACCAGAACAGAGATGCTGTGGAGCAATGCCACAAATCCTCTGCATTTGGAGGATGCAGTTATTCACACCAGAACAAGAACAAAAAATCATGGCTGGGCTAATGCCCCTGGTCATAATCGCTTCGGGACCTTGCTGGCACCCACTACTATGGCTTGTGCCACCCCAAGCCTTCCCATGACCTCCCTCAGGAGGTTTCAGTGTCACTTTCCAGCCTGACCAGCGTAGTGAGTGTGCAGCAGCACCACTGCAGATGGCATGTGATGGTCTAGTCAGACCCGTATCCCACTGACACTGGGGAACATCCCAGTGAGTGCAGCCAGCGGGGCGAAGCAATTCCTCCCGGCATTGTGCAACCCTGGAGGAGCAGTCCTGGAGCCAGAGGCTGCTCTTTGAACTCCTCCATGCTCCAGCTGCCACGAGATCCGGTGCTGAGTGGCTCCGGAGATCGAGCTGGTGAAGCTGGAAGATGTCTCTGTTCCTGCCAGCAGTGCTTTCCCCAAAACAGTGCAACCAGCACTGCAGCCCACGCTGATCTGCCTGGCTGGGTCACAGCAGGAATGTCCTGCTTAACAAACCTTGAGGCATTCCCAAGATTTTCAACGTTTTTTTAGTCCAGTAACAAAAAAATAAAACCATCACATTTTTTTCTCCCACATTTGTTTGGATTTGGGGATTTCCTGTTTTTCTCCAGGCTCTTGCCTTCCTGGGCAGTTTGTCTGAGGACACCTGAAATGCTGCCCAGCACCAGCTCAGATCCTCAGTGTGGGGATTGGAGGGATACAGGGAAGCCCACCTAGCTCCCCAGCATCCCAGCTTCTCCTGAAATTGGGATGCTCCCTGGCTCACCACATTTCCCCATGGGCTGACAGGGAACCTTGGCAGCAAGGCATTCCCCAGAGCAACTCTGCTTTTCCCCAGCTCCTACCAAACACAGATAATTTTAGCTGGATTCAGATTTCCCCCTGGAGGAATCTCTGAGAGGATTAAGAGGCAAAACAAGGATCAACTGCTTGGGCTGCTGGGTGGGAGGTGTTCACTAGCTACCTGGTTTGGCTTGGAGGTAGGAGGTACACCTGAACGTCCCCTGCCTGGAAGTCATGTTTTCACCTCCTGGGGTGAGGAGGAGGAAGGATATGAATTTCCAGCCCCTGTTCCTGTGAGGACAGACCAGAGGAAGACTATTTGGCTACAGTTAGACTCCAAAGACCATACTCTAAAGCCTGGTGGTTTAGGTAAACATGAGGAGAATGAAGAAAGAGATCTTTCCTCCTCAACAGGCGGAGGAAGAAACCCCTCATCTTCCTCCCAGCTCTTCGTCCTGCCAAATAATCCCTTCCCTCCTCACCCAGCCCTGGCTGCTCTCCATGGGCAGCTCCCGCATCCCGCGTGGCTGCTGCCGGACAATGAGATGCTCTGTGCGGGATTTTATGTAACCCAACCCGGCGATCGCCCTGGACCCCGCTAAAATGGAACGGGCTGTGATAAATAAGCTCATTTATCCCAATTATTCTTACGTAACCGGCTGCATTCAGGGGGATGAAAACGCTTCCCTGATTTCTCGCCGCTTGGACACAGGCTGGCTGGAGGAGGGAGAGCGGTGGGAAAGTGAGGCATGGAGGGAGGAAAGGGGAAGGCAGAGGCTTTTAATCCAGCCTGATGGAGCCAAAAGCAAATCAATAGCTCAGCATTGCAGGCAGGATCCAGTCACTGCCAGCTGCAGCAAAGCAGGACCAAGCCCAGCCCAGGAGTAAGGTGGCTCCATGCTACCCTTCTCCAGCAAGAGGGGATAACTGCATGCCCCAGCCCTGCCAAGCTTTCTCCAGCAGCCGTGCTGGGCACTTGAACCATGAAGTGGGATGGTGTAATGTGCCCGAAGAAGGGATGGGTTCTCCAGGGACAAACACTGGGATAGTTCTAGCCTCAACAGTGAAGTGGTTGGTGCACCAGTACAGCTGGGACTGGCTGCAACGCTCATGGCTAGTGGGGAGCTGGTGTTTTACACCTTCCAGGCAAGAAGACTACAGCAAGAGCTTAAACAAGAACAACAGTGCCAGGGAGCACTGAGGGCAGTTCAGTAACCTCCAAAGCTCCCCCATGACAAAAGGGAAGCCTTTCAGGTTCCCCCTCCACCGGTCCTCCATGGAAAAGGAAGGCTCTCGCTTTCCATAAATAGGAGCTCTGCCATTTGGCTGGTGAATGCTGTGCTTGCAGTGAGCAGGGGGCTGAATGCGAGCTGCTTTGTAATTTCAGGCCTGGTTTTGATTAGTGGGGTAGGGTTGGGATTCCCACCCCCCCCCCTCCTTTCAGGGGCACTGGGGAACTGGAAACTGTCGGGGTGTTAGAGAAGTAGCTCTGTGGAGACTGTCCTTCTGCTTCAGAGCCGTGTCACCTCATGGGGATGCTGTCCTGCTTGGGCACCAGCCCCGCCAGCTGCCCCCAGGTTCTCTGGGATCCACCAGCAGAATGAGTTTGCCAGTGCACAGCATCCTCCTATGGCAGTGGCATAGGAGTGGAGTGGATGCTCAAACTCCCCTCCATGAAGCCCCTTGGTCGGCATATCCCAAAAGCAATCCCCAAAGGAGGGGACAACTGGCTGGTCCTGCAGCTGCTGGCCTCTGTGACAGCAGCCAGCAGCTGAGCCCAACTGCCAGCACCAGGTGGCTGTTGGTGGGGTGGGAGGGTCCCCAGGAGCCCATTCCCTGGGAGGCTTTGATGGCATGAGGAGAACGCCAGGCTGGCTGGGAGGAGGCAGGGAAAGGGGCTGAACTGAGGACAGGTGGCTTCAGTTGAGATGCCGGTGGAGTGGCTGTGGAAGGGAACAGGGCAGAGGGGATGGAAAGTGGGAGCCATACCCCTTATATGGACACACCATAAATATATCCTGGATATATACATCCCATAAATATGTGTATACATATACATACACACACCCCTTAAATATATATATCTCCCCATACATACAGGATGTGATGATGAAAGGAACTGGCTAATCCCTCTGAAGCATCTCCAGCAAGATGTCTCTCCCTGGAGCTTTCCCTGCATCCCTATGGGTGATGTGCATCCCCTTGCCCATGGGGACCCAAGGATCTCCTGGCATGGAAGAAGAGGGCAAGAAGTGTCCCCAGGGAGGCAGGAGCTGCAGAGCATTATGGCACACATTGGTTATGTTACGCAGCTGGCAGTGCAGGCACATGGCGATAATGAAATGTGGTATCCAGGCCATTAAAATTTAACTCCTTAAATTAAAAGGGTTATTCAAGCCTTTCCTACGGAGCCAAGGAATGTGGCTGCAGGCAGATGGGAGGCAGCATCCACCTGCAGTGTGGTGATGCCTCAGGGACACCTCGAGCCACCGTGGGGCTCCCAAGGGACCCAGCAGGTCACCTCCAGCCCCTCTGCCCGTCCCCCTGCCTAAAGGACTCCTTGACAACAGGAGGTTGGCCAAGGGAAGAGCCCTCAAGCAAAGCACAAGCTTTGCGTGCCCATGCCACCCTAGGGTCCCCCTGTGTCTCTGATGTAGCAGCCACCAAACTGCCAGCACAGCAATGTCAATCACAATGAATTCTCATCACACAAATGGTCGGTGGGGTGGGATGAGGCATGGGAACATGCAGAACAGGGATTGTGCAGGGGCAGGGAGCTGCTGCAGGGCAGCGTGCTGGAGCCCAGAGGATGTTGGCAAGAGGGGGTGGCTTTAGAGCCACATCTCCAATTAAGGACAAGCCCCGGCGTCCCTCCCAGCCCTCTTGCTTTGACAGCTTGATGCCTGGAAACCGGCTAATCTAAACATCATCATTTCAGGGAGCTGTCAGAGTTCCCATCCTGCCCGCTCGTCCCTTTAACCACTTCAGCCCCGTCCCCTGCCCCAAGCCACTATGCAGGAACAGGGTGGCAGAGGCTCAGGCCAGACCAACGCCTGCTTGAAGAGGGTGAACCTTTGTTTTTCCCTAAAATCTAGAAAAAGTGAGATAAGATCCAATCTCACTGCAGAACCGTCTCCTCCTCTGGGATCTGTGGGGTGCCTGGGGGAAAACACTAGTCCTGTCCCGTTGCCTGGCCATGCTGAGCACCATCCTGCTGTGTTCAATTAAGCAGGTGCTTCTTCATTAAGCACCAGTGATTTGCTTTATTAGCTCTGGGCTAATAGACACGGGGCCCCAGCAGGGAGAGGATCATCTCTCGTCCCACTTCCAGCAACTGGGACAGAGCCTGAGCTGTGGAAGGAGCTGGCTGAGGCCTGGGAGTGATACTCTGAGGGGTTCTGCTCCACTTTTCCACTCACGGGTCTCAAAAAAACTTTCACAGCTGTGAGGAAGGCAGAGCCCCTCCATACTTCCTCCCAACTCTTCTCTTCCTCTGCTCCTTTCCTCTCTCCTCCCAAAGGCTATCCCCCACCCTTCCTCCACACCCCAGGCTCCCCAACAGATGCCCTGGCTTAACCCAACTAACCAGGAAATCCACAGCCTCTGTGATACCCACTGCCCCTCCCTATCCCTCTGAAATTCTCCTGCTGGCAAAAGCAACATCCCCTGCCTGGCCCAGCAGCTGGGATCCTTTAGGAATTTGCAGAGAAAGCATAGATAAAATTAGGATGTGAAGGGGAGAAGGAGAAGAGAGCGAGTGGGGAAGGCAGTAGGATGTCATTGTCCCATCCTTTCCCTCCATATCAGCAATGAAAATCCTAGTCCTCCATTTTAATCCCCCCTTTCCTGAATCCAGGCTCCAGAGCTGCTCCTCTGGGCAAGGGAAACCATAGCAACCCCAGCAGCTCCTGCTTTACAAAATTCATAGCATTTTATGTAAGGGATTTTGAAGGGATTGTGAGGTTTAGGAGCAGGGGAGCTCCTTCTGTCCAGGAGGCAG